GGAGGGGGTACTTTGGCAGGTAAGTCTCTTATAATGTACAAATATGCTGCGTATACTTGCACATTATGGCAAAACTCCCGATTCACTCCCTTGCCGAGTCAGAACCTGAGCTATGCAGTCAGCAGGGAGCATGAGCTTTGATTGCTGACCTCTAGGTCTGACCCACCAGATCAGCATGATCCATAAATTGTAGAGAGTTTTACATGAAAGAATATTTGACAACCAGAGCTAATGATATTTTACACCCACCGGACCTGTGCAGCAAAGTTCTTTTCAGAAATAGTATTGAAATGAAATGAATAACAATATAAACAGTACAACTTTTGGTGTCCCCCAATATTAGTGGCCAGTGTAGACTTGTTTTCCTGACATTGGCGGTCATTGTACATAAGAGATTAATTCACTATTGTTAGAGAAACCCTAGTTGAGAAAGGCTGCAGTAGAGGGTGTGTTGGACCTCTGCAGGGAGACCACTGCTTCCACACAGAGAGCAAGAGTACCGGCAGGGGAAAGGCTTTTCTACTCAGGCAGTGGTTGCTTACTCAAGATAACAAATTGTAAGATTTTGGAAGCCGTTTGTTTTGATACATATGGGATGGAGTTAGCTGATTTAGATTAAAGTTCTGTTGGGTTTGGGGAGAACTTGAGGCCTTGTGTATGGTCTGTTTTTATAGCATAGGTATAGGCAAAGCTTTTTTTGGCTGTACCTCTATGGGACGAACTGCACTCCTGTGACCCACTTTAGCCCACTGTTGACAGTGGTGACCCGCTTTAGCCCGCTGTTGGATGCCCCCCCTCCCCACCAGCAACCCCCTCTCCCCCATGCCCTGCTCTACCAGAACATGCCCCCCCACCACCGACCAACTTGCTCCCCTCCCTCCCTCCCGCTGTGACCACTAGATCTACCCAGTAAAAAAAGAAAGATGCAGCTAGCCATGCCTGAACCCTCCAGCAGCACGCAGCCTCCTCCGGAGCTGACCATGTCCTCATCTCCATCACTTGTTCGCTTCTTCCAGGGGGCAGCATCACCCCCCCCTCTGAAGATTGCCAAACTAGGCAAACGCCTTGCTTGCCTCATGGTAAGTATGCCGCTGGCTTTCGGCCGACGTCACAGAGCTGGTCTAGGCTTGGGAAGGATCCCGACTTTACAGGGATTTACCCAGATGCCTGGACCGGCAGCTGGCTCAGCCTCTCAGCGATCTGCTGAAATCCTGAGCCAGTCGCTCCCACAGCCCAGTGCTCCTGACAGTTACCTGAAGTCTGAGAGCTGAGTAATCAGCGGTGTTTGATCTCTCAGTTCTCGGTCTGGAGCCGATGGGGACCATCCACCTAGGTGGGTATAATTTTGAGGTTTTTTTTAGGAATCTTGTACTTCTCTTTTAAGGACCAAGGGGGCAGCACAGGGATTGATTTGAGGATCAGCACTGTTTCTTGTAGGCAACACTAGGTGCCCACACTCCAGCACTGTTACCGTTGGGGCTTTTTAGGCCAAGTCATAGGCAGGTTGAAAATACCCAAGTCTATGGGGTTCATTCTGAGATTCTGTTTAAAAAGAGTCTGCTAGGAAAGTTGACACCTTCTCTTCAAACCAAGAGTGAGACCCATCTGATGCTGGTGGCCGATGAGTCTGGAAATCAGAGTTGGTTTTGCGGCAGTATGTGATGGTACCACAGAACTGGCAAGCAACAGTCAAAGCGTCTTTCACTTGTCAAAGTCTCAGGCTTTGACAAGGAAAAGCTGACCTAACAGCCAATCGTGAACCGTTCGACTAAAAATGCAATCTTTTCAGAATGTGACATAAATAGGACAAGTGTAATATGGGAGGCAGCAAAGAGTAGGTTGAAAGATGATTGGGAGATCGAAGGGTTATGGATGGGGATGCAGGATGAAAGTGGTGCAAGATGGTCAGATTTCTGAAGGGCTTTGAGAATTCTCACCATACTATGTTATGATAATACAAAATCACCCCCCTCGTTCTTCTCTCCAAGACGACAACATGTCCCACCACCTGCTGCACAGACGTCAATAAACATGGCTGACTGGTTCACAGAGCACAGTCGGTCATCCTTCACATACTGGCACAAGATGAATACCGTCCTGTTGTCTCGCCTTGCTGGCTCCAGCCAGCCCTCACATTCCTGCACGCTAGCCTCGTCCACACCCAGTGACCCTAGACAGCTACAGCAAGCTCATTTACCCCTTGTAGAAATGTCTGCATCAAAACAAAGACTAGACAACTGCTTCTGTGAAACCATAGATCCCAGCATCCCATCCCAAAACACTTCTAGGCCTGGATGCCAAACACAACACAACTTCCCTTTAATATCTGTACATTTAAATAGCACACACTGCATTCTGTGCTTCTGAACATAAGTGGGCCCATACAACAAAGGATTTCTGTTGGTGTGATGCCACAGCTCTGACTCTGCACCTCATCCAGTCAGAGAATGCTTAGCCTTCTTGGTACAAGTACACAATGATCTCTGAATGGCGAATGGGCAACTCCCCATGTTCACGGTGCAGTAGAGCAGCCACTCGGCGCAAAACCTGGAAGCTAGTGGAGATCACTGCCTAATACAGTGATTTCCAGGGATCCCACAGGTATGGTGCAAAGTTACATTGGTCCAAGTATTGCATACCTTATATTAGACAGTGATGCCATCACTGGGTCTCTGTGCTTTCTACAGCCCTGGCCAACAGTTTTGAGAATGGCAGAAATATCAATTTACTTAAAAGGAAACACGTGCGGTCATCAGTGCTTTGCACAAAAAGGGATTCACAAGCAAGGATATTGCTGCTGCTAAGATTGCACCTAAATCAACCATTTATCGGACCATTGAGAACTTCAAGGAGAAAGGTTCAGTTGTGAAGAAGGCTTCAGGGCGCCCAAGAAAGTCCAGCAAGCGCCAGGACCATCTCCTAAAGTTCATTCAGCTGCGGGATCGGGCCACCACCAGTGCAGGGCTTGCTCAGGAATGGCAGCAGGTAGGTGTGAGTACATCTGCAGGCACGGTGAGAAGAAGACTTTTGGAGGATGGCCTGGTGTTAAGAAGGGCAGCAAAGAAGCCACTTATCTCCAGGAAAAACATCAAAGACAGACTGATATTTTGCAAAAGGTACAGAGATTGGACTGTTGAATACTGGGGAAAAGTCATTTTCTCTAATGAATCCCCTTTCCGATTGTTTGGGGCATCCGAAAAAAAAACTTGTCCAGAGAAGAAAATGTGAGCGCTACCATCAGTCCTGTGTCATGCCAACAGTTAAGCATCGTGAGACCATTCATGTGTGGGGTTGCTTCTCAGCCAAGGCAGTGAACTCACAATTCTGCCTGAGAACACAGCCAAGAATAAAGAATGGTACAAAAACATCCTCCGAGAGCAACTTCTCCCAACCATCCAAGAACAGTCTGAGGAACAACGCCTTTTCCAGCATGATGGAGCACCTTGCCATAAGGCCAAAGGAGCTTGGAGAACAAAGCATTGAAATTTTGGGTCCCCAGACCTTAATCCTATTGAGAACTTGTGGTCAATCCTCAAGAGGCGGGTGAACAAAAAAAACCCACAAATTCTGACAAAGCCTTCAGCCTTTGACACTTATGAAATACTTGTAATTATACTTCAGTATACCAGAGTAACATCTGACAAAATATTGAAAAACACTGAAACAGCAGACTTTGTGAAAATTAATACTTGTGTCAATCTCAAACCCTTTTGGCCAGGGCTGTAGGTAATGAGGCAGATCATGGCTGGTACGATGCTGTACATAGAAAACATCACAGCTCCCTTCCTCGGTACTCCTTCTCGAGAGCCCTAACCCCTGGTTCACATATAAGCGGCCGTGTGGGCTGCGTTTTGCACGGGCATGAGAGCCCATTCATTTGAATGGACTCCCATGCCTGTGACACGCAGGAAAGAAGTCCCTCCACGTCTTTGGAAAACGCATCCGAGGTTCCCAGTGCGGTTTCGTTTTCCAATGTGGGCGGCGTGCCATTAGAACTAATGGCACCCGCCTGCGGGTCCGTAATTCTCTGTGCAGGTGGTGCGGCTGCACGGATTTTTGCGCGGATCCGCAGTGGCACCACCCACACAGATGTGAACCTAGGGTCACTCTTGATGCAAGCAGTGGGTTGGCTCTTGGGACGAATTATGCAAATATCAAAATGCCTTGATGGGTCACTGTATATAGGTAACAACCACATGGGATGCTGAGCCTCCATGATTGAAAGAACTGAAATCTAATGAATGAAAGGGGCAGAACAGGGACAGCCAAGCTGGGGGGAGGAAAAAGCGAGATGATGCTGGGTGTCCACCAGCCAGGAAATGAGGCGGAGTTGCTTGCAGCAGCTTCTAATGCACAGTGTGAGAAGCTCACAGTGTGCAGAGAAATCAGAGTAAGCCATTCCAGGAGAGGAGCCGGTACAACTGTGCAAAACTGAAGGGAAGGATGGAGATACACTTTAAGTTAGTAGGGTGGGGCAGGGACACAAAGGGGTGGATTTACTAAAACTGGAGAGTGCATGGTAGCCAATCAGCTTCTAACTTCAGCCTGTATAATGAAGGTTTGACAAAAAAAAACCTGGAAGTTGATTGGTTTCTATGCAGAGCTGCACCAGATTTTGCACTCTCCACTTTTAGTAAATCTTCCCCAAAGTCAGAACTTTGTGTGAGCGACTTATTCCTTATATTGTACTCAATAGCAGGGCAGGGGAAATCATGTGACTTTGGCAGGTTACTATATATATATATATATATATATATATATAATGTTTTATCTTTGTATTTCACTACATGGCTTTTTAATGCAGTTCTGTTTCTCTGGCCTCTTATGAGAAGCTCAATATGTGGCTCTTGTCTTTGACTACTTGTGTCATTAGTGGGAGATGTTTCTTATGATGTTGTCTCCTCTGTCCCCGTAGGTTGCAGAAAGTGACAGCTGAACAAAGCAGAAGAAGAGAAGTCGAACCCTCAGCTCGCTCTCCGTCTTACAAAGATCCTCTCTATATGCCCCTGCAGCTGCCCACCATGAATTTTCGCAGCCACCGGCTACTGCGCCGCTCTCCTCCGCCTCCCCCGGCGATCTCTAGCAAACCCACCCCAGTTGGTGGAACTTCCAGCAGCGGACTGTCCAGCTTGAGCAGTATCGCCCAGATCAGCCCCTGCCTGTACCTCTCCAGCGGCAATGCCGCAGGCAGTCGCCAGCTGGTCTACGCTCGCAACGTCACCTGCATCGTCAACGCCACCCTCGAGATCCCCAACTCCAACTGGCCAGACGTCGACTACATCAAAGTGCCAGTGCCTGATCTACCGCATGCCCCGTTGGCGCTCTATTTTGACTCCGTGGCAGACAGGATTCATCAAAACGGAAAGAGGAATGGCAGGACTCTGGTGCACTGCGTGGCAGGGGTTAGCCGTTCGGCCACCCTCTGCATTGCCTACCTGATGAAGTATCACCGTCTGTCTCTTCTAGATGCCCACCAATGGGTCAAGACCAGGCGGCCCGTGGTGCGGCCGAATGCTGGATTTTGGCAGCAGCTGATCCAGTATGAGAAAAAGTTGTTTGGCAAAAACACCGTACGATTGGTGCCATCACCACTAGGACTTATACCCGATATATACGAGAGAGAAACTCGTAATCTCATCCCTGTTTGGGGTTTCAGATAAAGATGACCTCTTTTCTCAAAGACTAAACTTTGGCTGGTGCATATAACTATCTACAGAGGTCCCCAGTCTATAGTAATAGTTTCAGTATTGGTATGAGGCAGACAGTATTTCTTGCATCCAATGATGGGACCAGGACCTTTAGCACCCAAGGTGAGAAGGTCAAAATACACCCCCCACCCATGAGCTACTTCTGCAGGATAGGTTGCAGGTCCTGTCCTGTGTGTGCTCCTCTGCTGAGCCACCTTGCCCTCACCAACGACATTGTATCTCCAGAGAGAGGGTCTCATTGGCTTGGCCCCAAGATCTCTTTCTGCTGGTATGTTCTCAGGTCAGATTGGTCATCAAAAACCCTTCTTCCTGATGACCACATAGCAATGGCTGATGTAGCAGGTACTAATATGAACTGCACACGTGCCTGCTCCCCAACTAAGATAAATAACCATCAGCTCCTTGCTCTTATACCAGTTTTGTTCAGGGGAGAGCCAGAGGTGCATCAGTTGAGTCACTTGCCAGGCAAAAGAGCAGCTCTTGTGGACTCAGGCCAACTCAGACATCCACAGAGCAAACCAATTTGCTGGCTGGTTGTCAGGCAACAGCATCCTTGAGAACCAGACTGGCTTAAATGTTTCATTCTCCCTATGAGTAGCAGCCACACTTACCAATACTGAAACTAAAACTGCAGGAGGAGACCTTTTAATGGAGACCTGTCATGAAAGAAATAGGGTGCTTCTGATAAATGCTACAATTGAAGAAACCACCAACACTCTGATCAACAGGGACCACGAAAGGTCTGTCTGGACCCTCCACACTCTGACCAGCTTAATCTTGGAGGTAGACCTCTATGACTATGGCTTTCTGGGTGGCATGCATTAGAGTGTTCATAGTGTAGAACAGGTCTACAAAATTGCTAAATAAAGGGCCATTTCACTGTCCTTCAGACTTTATGGGGGACAGACTGTGACCAATGGGAGTGGAAAATGCCCAAGCGTCAATGGGCGTAAACAAGTCTTTGGCTTGGTGGTCAATAAGACAAGGAATGGTACCCCATCATTGGTATTAGTGGGAGGAATGGTGCCCCATCATTGGTGTCAGTGGGATGAATAGTGCCCCATCATTGGTATTAGTGGGAGGATATATGCCTGCTTATTGGTGTCAGAAGAAAAGTGCCCCATCATTGGTATTAGCGGGAGGAATAGTGCCCCATCATTGGTATCAGTGGGAGGAATGGTGCCCCATCATTGGTATCAGTGGGAGGAATGGTGCCCCATCATTGGTATCAGTGGGAGGAATGGTGCCCCATCATTGGTATCAGTGGGAGGATATATGCCTGCTTATTGGTGTCAGAAGAAAAGTGCCCCATCATTGGTATTAGCGGAGGAATAGTGCCCCATCATTGGTATCAGTGGGAGGAATAGTGCCCCATCATTGGTATCAGTGGGAGGAATGGTGCCCCATCATTGGTATCAGTGGGAGGAATAGTGCCCCATCATTGGTGTCAGTGGGAGGAATAGTGCTCCATCATTGGTGTCAGTGGGAGGATATATGCCTGCTTATTGGTGTCAGAAGAAAAGTGCCCCATCATTGGTATTAGCGGGAGGAATAGTGCCCCATCATTGGTATCAGTGGGAGGAATAGTGCCCCATCATTGGTATCAGTGGGAGGAATGGTGCCCCATCATTGGTATCAGTGGGAGGAATGGTGCCCCATCATTGGTATCAGTGGGAGGAATAGTGCCCCATCATTGGTGTCAGTGGGAGGAATAGTGCTCCATCATTGGTGTCAGTGGGAGGATATATGCCTGCTTATTGGTGTCAGAAGAAAAGTGCCCCATCATTGGTATTAGCGGGAGGAATAGTGCCCCATCATTGGTGTCAGTGGGAGGAATAGTGCCCCATCATTGGTATCAGTGGGAGGAATAGTGCCCCATCATTGGTGTCAGTGGGAGGAATGGTGCCCCATCATTGGTATCAGGGGGAGGAATGGTGCCCCATCATTGGTGTCAGCGGGAGAACTGGTGCCCCATCATTGGTGTCAGCAGGAGGAATAGTGCCCCATCATTGGTGTCAGCAGGAGGAATAGTGCCCCATCATTGGTGTTAGCGGGAGAACTGGTGCCCCATCATTGGTATTAGCGGGAGGAATGGTGGCTCAAGGGCTGGATAAAAGCAAGCAAAGGGCCACAAGCTGCAGTTTGCAGACCACTGGTTTAAAACATTTCTTGAACTTTTTTTCAGTCATTGAACCCTTTTAACAGTGTGCAAAATCTCAAGGCACCCCAGTCTAAAAAGAACAAAAAAGTTACTTACCATCAATGGGAAACCTGAGCTCGGGACAATGCACACAACAACCCTGATGAAATTAATTTCTCACAAGAGTCCCTATATATGACAGCCTCCCATCACATCAGAGTCTCCCCTGGATAGAGTCATCTCATCCATCTCTGTTCCTGGGCTATCTGAGTCTCGTACTTAAGACACCCCAGGGGAACCCAAGGGTGCGTGTGACAAGTTTCATCTGTGCTGTTGTCAGAGTGCAGTAGGTTTCTTCTATTGTGACCTGGGAGGAGCAGGGATGAGCTTCAATTGTCCGGGACCTGAACCCACAGACATGGGTGGACCATGGTCTTGAGACCAGTTTTCCTGGGTCTATTTTTTGAATGCAAGTTGCCACCTCTGACTTCTACATAAGTCAGACTCAGAGCAAACTTGCAGCGAGGGATGCCAGATTCAGAGCAAGCATCGACCAATCTAATCTCTAGGCTTGTATTAGGTCACTGACTCAACTTGAGGCCAGAGGTGGGTCTCCAGCAGAACCTGGCAACAAGCATTTTCAGAAAGAGTCCAGCAACAGAAGCCCACCTATTTTTATCTCATGACAGCTTTCCTTTAAGGACACTAGACACTTTTCCCTCCGACCACAGAATAATGACCCAACGGATGGCTGTATGGACCAAAATAACCCACGCCTCCCCCGCAGTAGCAGAACAATAACCAATCAGTACTAACAAAACTCGCTAGATAAGTTACTTCTCTCTTCCTCTGGTGTGAAGGGGGCGCTCCGGCACCATTCGGTCAGGGAATAATGGAGTGGGGGCAGCTTTCCTGTGACTATGCCCTTTTGCTTTTTATTTTTTTTAGTGTAAAACATTTCAGATTGTGAATTTATTTACTTTAAAAAAAAAAAATTAAAATTTATTGATATCAGAGTGCCACATAGCTCAGAATAGGATACTTATTTTTCTCCTGATGTGGGTGCAATATACATGTATATTTCTAAATAAAATAGAAAATTTGACAAAAACTTCAACTTTTATTTTTTTTTTTAATAAACCTTTAAAATTTTACATAAAAATGTATACAATGACAAAAACAACAGACCAGAAAGAAGACGGATGAATGGGAAAGAACAAGGACAGAACACATTGGAATGGAGGCTGGGAGAAGGACAGGCGGCATTTTTAAAGCAGAACTTTCAGGGCAAAATGGAAGGTCCACTTTTTTTGCCGCCCCCTGACCCCCAATGGTTTAAAAAGGACATTTACCTCGACCCAGCTTCCAGGAGGCAAGGGTAATGTCACTCTGGTGGGAGCGGAGACCCTGAAATCGCACGAAAATGCACTTTCACTGGAATGCATTCTTATGGGATTTTAAAGAGAAGTTCCACCCAAAAGGAGAAGTTCCGCTTTAAAGATTGGTCCCCCGCTCCCCATTAAGGATTGGCACCTTTGGGGAGCGGGTAACCGAAATTGACAGGTACCCACTGCGATCGGAAGTGGAAGTTGTCCTCCTACTCTCCCCCCCCATAGTCTAGTGGGACACGTGACAGGTCCCAGAAGACAACAGGACCATTCAGGAAGCGCAGCGCTACTCGCGCATGCGCAGTGGGCACCCGGCTGTGAAGTAGAGTGCCCACACTGAAGATGCCAGCACCTGGAATACAGGACGGCCGGTGAAACGGGCTGCGGCGGGGGCATCGCAGAATCGTAGGACAGGTAAGTGTTTTTTTTTTTTTTTTTAAAAGTCAGCAGCTACAGTTTTTGTAGCGGCTTATTTTTTTTACAGAATGAGTGGAACTCCGCTTTAAGTTCCTAGCCTTGCAGAAAGGTACGGTGAGTTAACCTTTTATCCTCCCGAAAGGGTCCTAGGCCGAGGCAAGTTTTTTCTTCCCTAATAGGCAAATGGTTTGTTTACAATCAGCTTCATGAAGCCATTTCCGGTAGAGTGGAGAGGAGGGCGGCAAAAAAGCAGACCTTCTATAGGTCATGAAAGGTCCGCTTCAATTATAAAAAAAACAAAACAAAAACAAGGCTCTTAAAGAATATGTACAGCAGTTTTTTTTAAAGTTTCGATTGAAGTAAAATGGCTAGAACTTTGTATTTTTGTCCTGATGGAGAGATTTTCCTTCACTTCCTATGCTGGAAACACAACAGGAAGAGAGAGGAAATCCACCCTTAAGAGTTGTCACCAGAACAGAAGTAAAAGGAACAGTCTTCCAATTGGTAACATTTTGGATTTCCCACCAATTCCCCAGTAACAAAAAAAGGTCTTCAGGGTAAAGAAAATGAACCACCAAACAAGGACACAGACTTCAATTAAAAAAAAAAAAAAAAAAAAAAAAAAAAAAAAAAGCTATAGAGGTTCTAATCCGAAATTATTCCATCCTTAAAGGAAAAAAATCAGGGTTGAGCAAACTGCATCCCTCCAGCTGCTGCAGAACTACAAGTCCTATCATGCCTCTGGAAGCCATTCTTGCAATGCCTCCTGGGACATGTAGTTCCACAACAGCCGAAGGGCCAGTTTTCCCACCCTGGTTTAGATAGATTTTAAATGGTAAGTGCCCTTTAAAGCCTGACCTAACCCAGCCCACCATCCCCCTCTACAGATGCATACTTACCTCGATCTGATGGCTGCAGTACTGTGGTTTGTTTACATCCAGCGTTTCAAGTGTTTAGTGTCCTGGCCGCACCTGCGCATTACAGCTCCATAGACTTCCATGGGACTGTTCCCAATAGTCTCGGGCTTTGGAACCCAGCCTCATAGAAGTCTATGCTGCTGTAATGTGTAGCCACAGCCAGGGCAGCGAAGACTTACAACACGGGAGGTAAATAAACGCTGGAGGCTGCGGCCATCAGATCAAGGTAAGTAGGCATTTCTTTTGGGAAGTTAAAAAAAAAAAAAAAAAAAGGATAAATATACCTCGTTTTAAAGTGCACTTATCCTTTAATGACAATCTACCATAACTGTCTATTTGTGGATACAACTCGATGGCTGCAATGTGGGAGAATTGGCTATTTACAGGGACTTCCCACTCCTAATAGAGAATGAAAACACATCAATGAGATTCCAAGATGGCACCTATGCCGACCCCTCAAAAGGGAACCTCTCTCTTCATCAAAGTGTCCAAAGGAAAGGCAGCTGTTGCTCCCAGCAATCACGATTCCCTTTACTTGATCAAGTTCCTTCATCCAGCGCAACGGTTTATTGAACCAGCACAGAAAACACAAGTCTAACTCTGCTAGGGACTCTTCACATGGATGAGGCATGAGGGACTGTGTGCCTCACACATGGTGCATATTCCAGGCCAATTCACAGGCTCCGTTCTGTTCCAACAGCCAGAAAAACGAAGTGGTTCATGCAGGTAACCGAGCCAAATTAATGGTTTTGGCACAATTTATGATAAATCAGTCACCTTACTTTACAATTTGCAGTGCTGCTGATCCATCACTAAGGGGCGCTAGAAGGAATACAGGCTAAAAATAAAGAGTTCCATGTCTTCAGATTGTCCCAAATCCATCAGGTGAGAGGCAAAGGTTTATTATTCGCTGTCTCCATCATCACTGATGATGCCCCTTAAACCAGACCAATCCATGGTCTTCTTCTTGCGGGGGGGTCCTTCCTCCCCCTCGGAGTTCGATGACAGCTCTTTGCGGTACGGGGGAGGAGAGGTGTTAAGAGACGAGGAAGCCTGATAGGGGTTCCAGGTGTTTCGGCGACGGGGGCGTCCTGGGGGAGGACAGATTAGGTGTTAAATCTCTTCAGCAAAATAAAGTCAATTTGTTTACATATTGGCAAAAAATTCTCTAATGTGTGAAAGGAAGAAAATATGGCCACTGTGTCCCTTCCCATCCCCCCATTGTGCCTGCTCACTGGCCCTGTGCCCTTATTCCCACCAAATCTCCCCTCTCCCAAACTGACCCCCATCCCCTCCCCTGCTCTACACTGCACCTGCGCTCCCCCACTTACCCATGTTATCATGCCGGCCCCCCTTCTGCTCTCACCACTGCACCCGCCCCTCCCCTTCTGCTCTCACCGCCGCCCCTGCCCCCCCTTCTCTCACCGCCACACCCGGCCCCCCTTCTCTCACCGCCACACCCGGCCCCCCTTCTGCTCTGACCGCTGCACCCGCCCCCTGTCCCTCCCTCCTCTAATCTCACCGCTGCTCCTGCTCTCACCGCCGTGCCCACCCCCCCTTCTGCACTCACCGCCGTGCCCACCCCCCCTTCTGCTCTCCGTCGCCGCGCGCCCGCCGCCCTTCTGCTCTCACCGCCGCGCCCGCCCCCCCTTCTGCTCTCACCGCCGCGCCCGCCCCCCCTTCTGCTCTCACCGCCGCGCCCGCCCCCCCCTTCTGCTCTCACCGCCACGCCTGCCCCCCCTTAAGCTCTCACCACCGCCGCGGCCGCCCCATCCCCCCCCTACTCTCACCGCCACTCCTGCCCCCTTTCTGCTGTCACCACCGCTCGTGCCCCCCCTTTCTGCTCTCACCACCATTCCTACTCCTGCCTCCCCCTTTCCTCTCACCACCACACCTGCACCCTTCTGCTCTCGCAATCGCGTCTACTCTTCTGCATTCCCCACGCTCAACAACGTACACCACTAACTCCCCTGCAGGCCCATCTCTACCACACCTGCACACACAATTTCCCATTCCTCTTACATCTACACCTACTGTACATTTTCACCCACCTTGCACCCCCTCTCTCACCTAGACCGCACCCCCACTCTCACCTAGCCTACGCACACTTTCCCTTCATTGTATGTTTGCATATTCCACGTCCCCATTTTCCAAAGCCTGCTGGGAGCACCATCCAATATCCCGAACCTCATCCTCCCCTATGCTCTATCCAATGACTGTGCCCCCACCCCATACCTTCACCACTTCAACCTTGCCTCGCCTAGAACAGGAACACTTTTGCTTGTAATCCTTTAAAACAATCCAACCCCTCCCCACACATCTATACTTGCCGAGATCTGACCTACACAACCTTCATGGTAGGTTTACATCCAGAGGTGAAAGGCCCGCTCTCCTGGCTGCGCCTGTCCAGCACAACCCCAAAGACTTCTCTGTGGCCATCTCCTGGCCGAGCCCGTCCAGCACAACCCCAAAGACTTCTCTGTGGCCATCTCCTGGCTGCGCCCGTCCAGCACAACCCCAAAAAGACTTCTCTGTGGCCATCTCCTGGCTGCACCCGTCCAGCACAACCCCAAAGACTTCTCTGTGGCCATCTCCTGGCTGCACCCATCCAGCACAACCCCAAAGACTTCTCTGTGGCCATCTCCTGGCTGCACCCGTCCAGCACAGCCCCAAAGACTTCTCTGTGGCCATCTCCTGGCTGCGCCTGTCCAGCACAACCCCAAAGACTTCTCTGTGGCCATCTCCTGGCTGCGCTTGTCCAGCACAGCCCCAAAGACTTCTCTGTGGCCATCTCCTGGCTGCGCCTGTCCAGCACAGCCCCAAAGACTTCTCTGTGGCCATCTCCTGGCTGCGCCTGTCCAGCACAGCCCCAAAGACTTCTCTGTGGCCATCTCCTGGCTGGGAGATGAAGGTAGACAAGTGCCATAGAAGTCTACAGGGCTGCACTGTGCAGGTGCAGCCAGCAGAGGGAGGCGTTCACTGCTGGATGTAAACAACGAAGGCCATGGAGGTAAGTATATAGAAGATCATGCCAAGTATATATATCGGATGAGGGGGGAGGGGGAGATCATTTAGGTCAGGGCAAGGAACAAAAAGAAGGGCACTTTTAGACAACCTGCCCAGTACATGACATCAGGTCCTCGCACTTTCCTAGCTACATGCTTGTTCCAGTTTATAGATTGAGAAAATATGGGAAGATGCAATTGCCGGCCTCCATTTGAAGATGCTAGTTGCCTGGCTGGCAAGTTCATCCCCTGCAGGTATTCTGCACCTGTGCCAGGCAACTAGCATTTGCAGAATGATAACATCAGCAATGGCAGGCATGCTGACCAGCAACGTGCTACGTGGTCACCTAGACAGGAAGTCTACACACAGCAATCAAATCCTGACCGCTTCTGACCTCTTCCATCAAAGTAAAAGAAGCAAAGTCCTGGCGGGAGTCCTGCGCTCACGGCGTCCTTTCATATATGATTTATACCCAGAACAATCTCTCTTTGTATCTCTCCAGCCGACCCGCTCAGATTACTACTTTAATAGCTCGCTCAGCCATAAGAAGAGACAAAAGGCCAGCTTCATCGCTTCATAAATAAATAATAATTAAAGTGGAGCGATCGTGTTTTCCACAAGTCATCATTCGTCTTATTAAAAAAGGATAGAGAAAGGGGAGCCGGCTTCATCCGCTTATAATTTTCCCTTCCCTGATCTTCAATCCCCCATCATCAACATGCTAAATAAATATTTAATTAAAACCTTTTCATTATTATTATATACCCTCTTTTAAGCCCAGTGATATTATTGTCTCTTTGCTTCTCAATGCAATGCAGGCAGATCATGGCTGGTGGGAGGGGCCGGCAGGGTGCTGTACATAGCTTCCTAAAACATCACAGCCCCAGACCTCCTCTCAAGAGTCCTCAGTCCTGACGCAAGCAGAGGGCTGGCCTTGGGAGGAGTCATGCAATGTTTTTGATACACTTTTTTCTTCTTTAATTAATGTATATTTGATGATTTTTTGTGATTTGGTTAGAGCGCGACCTTTTTTATATTTTTTCACATTTTACCTTGTTTGAGGGTGAGGTTTTAGCTGCTTATTTGATTATATATTTTTGGTTAATTAGGTGTTTTTTAGTTTACCCTTTATTATCACCACGCCTTGATAGCTGGGTGTCAGTCTGGGGGAGTGGGCGGTTACTAGGTAGGCTGTATTTGCATGCAGACCGCCCTACATAACGCCCATGTGTGAGGTTAAAGCGGAGCTCCACCCAAAAGGGGAAGTTCTGCTTTAAAGGACTGCTACCCTGATCCCCATTAAGAATTGGCACCTTTGGGGGGCGTGGGGGGGGGGGAGTGGGTACCTGAATTTGACAGGTACCCGCTCCTACTTCTGGTCCGATCGCCTAGGCCTAGGCCAGGGGTAGGCAACCTGCGGCTCTCTAGCTGCTGTGGAACTACATTTCCCATGAGGCATTGCAACATTACAAAACTGACAGTTACAGCTATGACTTGCAGAGGCATGATGGAACTTGTAGTCCTGCAACAGCTGGAGAGCTGCAGGTTGCCTAGGCGATCGGAAGGTGTCCTCCCTCCCCGTAGTCTTTTGGGACACGTGACAGGTCCTAGAAGACTACAGGACCATTCATGAAGCGCAGCGCTACTCGCGCATGCGCAGTGGGTACCCGGCTGTGAAGCCGCAAGCTATACAGCTGGGGTCCCACACTGAAGATGCCGGCCTCCTGGAATACAAGACGGCTAGTGAAATGGGCTGCGGGGGACACACCACGGGACCGAGGGACAGGTAAGTGGCTGTTTTTTAAAGTCAGCAGCAACAGTTTTTGTAGCTGCTGACTTATTTTTTGATAGGTTTAGTGGAACTCCGCTTTAAGCTTCCACGGTTGAAAGAACTGAACTCCTATAGATGAAAGGGGCGGGGCCAAGGACAGTCAGAATGGGGAGGAAAGCGCAAGATGATGCTGGACGTCCCAGAGCCAGGAATGAGGCAGAGCTCAATCTGACTTGCTGCAGATTCTAATGCAGATTGTGAGAAGCTCAAAGTCTGCAGTGAAATCAGAGGAAGCCGGCACAGCCCAGGAGGGGAGCCGGCACAGCCCAGGAGGGGAGCCGGCACAGCCCAGGAGGGGAGCCGGCACAGCCCAGGAGGGGAGCCGGCACAGCCCAGGAGGGGAGCCGGCACAACTGTGCAAGACTGAAGGGAAGGCCGGAGGTCAGATTTCCGTTGAATAGAGGAGGGTTAGGGTTGCTGTCTGAGTTTTATGAGCAGTACAGTGGCTAAATGATTAGCACTTCCACCTGGCAGTACTCGGGATGTTGGTTCAAATCCCAACCACGGCACCACCTGCCTGGAGTTTGCATCTTCTCCCTGTGCCTGCGCGGGTTTCCTCCGGGTACGCCGGTTTCCTCCCAGTCTCCAAAGACATGCTGGTAGGTTAATTGGCTCCTGTCTAAATTGTCCCTAGTATGTGTATGTATGAATGTGAGTTAGGGACCTTAGATTGTACACCCCTTGAGGGTTAGGGACTGATGTGAATGTACAATATATATGTAAAGTGCTGCGTACATCGATGGCGCTATAGAAGTACCTGAAATAAATACATTTTTTTTTTCCGCTCTTTATGTGAATTATAAAGCATTTAAAGGGAAACATAAAAACATTCCTGAATGCCTTTCCAGCACTTGGTCATCACTTAGGAAATGTTTGGAAGCTTCCGGCAAGTTTTATTCAGAGCCTGAAAAGCCAGCAATGTTTACAGATGACATAGAGGCAGATTCCTGCCAGCAGCCTACTAATAGGCCTCATCCGTACCCTACAACTGCACTGGCAGCCTAATAAAAGCAGGCAAACAAATGCAATCAAAGTGATTAATAGCACAAAGAAGCCCAAATCAGAAATGGTTCCTCCCTGACCTGCCTGTAGCAGAGTACAATTTGATTGGCTGATCTGGGTCAGTACTCTTTACACCCTAGCAATACAATGTGGCAGAAGGATTTGGAGTCTCACCAGCCGTGGCGATGATGTTACTGGTGTCCAGTTCCGCCAGCTCAGCCGCCTCCTCCCGCTTCAGTCGCACAACGCGGCACTTTTCCAGACTCGGCTTTCCTGTGTTAATGCAAAGACCCGACACTCAGTATTGGATTCCATCACCTTTCCTGACACCCAGCCTGACACTTGAGGCCTCATGCACACTGTAGTACGGACTTAACCACTTCCCGTCCGGCCCATGTATATAAACGGCCGGACAGGAGCACTGCAGGAGAGGGTGGCCGTTTATAAACCGCTTCCCTGCTTGTGCGCATGCGTAGCACCACGATCCGGTGCCTGCTGTGTCCTCCGGACACAGATTGCTGTACGGGACCTCTGTGTGAAGTCCCAATCATGTGAGGTCCCAATCATGTGATCACTGATTGGCCAACAGTGATCACATGAATAGTAGTAAGCAAAATGTCACTTTCTGACATCATTGCTTACTACGTGTGAAATCTGTGAATGATCACCGAGGTCACATGGTACAGGGCTATTCACAACAGCCTTGTGCCATGTGACAAGCTGTGACCAATCACAGCTCTCACAGTATTTCTCAATGGCTGCAAGAATGCAGACAGAGAGAAATGATTGCTTTTACAGCCTTTATGGGTGTAAAAGCAATCAGTGTAAAAAAAAAAAAAAAAAAATTCATCACCCCCCACAAGTAGTACATTGGCACTGTACTGCTAGGGTGACAGTATGTTAAAAAAAAAGGTAAAAAAATTATAATTTTTTGGTTATACACCAATTTGGGTCATTTTTTTTTTACTAAAAAGATAACTGAATAAATTTTGGCCAAGATTTATGAAAAAAGATTTGCAAAATTTTATAAGAATAACACTTTTTTTTCAAAATTTTTGGACTTTAATTTATATAGCAAAAAAGAAAAATCCCAGTGGTGCATAAATACCACCAAAATGCTAAAAAATTCATATGGGTACAGTGTTGCATGACCGCGCAATTGTCATTGAAAGTGTGACAGCGCTGAAAGCTGGCCTGGGCAGGAATGGGGTGAAAGTGCCCGGTATTGAAGTGGTGAGAGCCCATCCCCCTTATATTCATGTGTATGATTCACATTGGAGCTTACACAGGGTTGATGATGTGTCCCCCCTCTAATGTGACTGTGTTGAGGCCTGACGAATGTCCACTAGGCCCGAGCACTGCATCATGGGAGGAAATCCCCTGCTCCCCATACCCAAAACCCTGGGCATTCCTCTCCATACAAGTTTAATTTACCTTTTATTTTCTGTACGCTGAAAAACAGGCCTGATAAGCGACACGCAGGACAACGGTCACAGCTCACCTTTCACCCCCAGGTCCTCCAGCTCCTTCTTCAGCACCTCCACCATGGATTTCACCGAGCGGCAGTTCTGAAACAGCTTCTTGTAGTTCCTCCGAGTCCCGCAGGTCACGATGTATCTCTTCAGCCGAGTGATGGACGGGTGGTCTTCCTTTGAGGTGCTCTATGGACAGCAGGAGAGAGTGTGGTTACAGGATAGATGCTTGTGCTGGAATTCGTATCTCTTGGGGGCTCCATTGGAGAGGGATCTTCCCAGTAATTCTCAGTTATGTCCAATTGCCTCGAACATTACAGAGCTAAAATATGGCCTCACCACAATGGAATCTGCACAATAGGAGACAAATAACTGGGGCATCTAACGGCAACGCATTTCAGCTTTGTAGGAGGTGCAGAGACACAATACAGCCACAAGTCTTTTGAGAGGGACAGATAAACAAACTACAGTTGGGCACTTTCCACTGGAGTCGTGTGGGAGGGGGCAGAGACACAAACAGATGGGAACTCTCCATTGGAGTCATGTGGGAAGGGGCAGAGACACAAACAGATGGGAAATCTCCACTGGAGTCGTGTGGGAGGGGCAGAGACACAAACAGATGGGAACTCGCCACTGGAGTCGTGTGGGAGGGGGCAGAGACACAAACAGATGGGAACTCTCTATTTTAGTCTTGTGGGAGGGGGCAGAGACACAAACAGATGGGAAATCTCCACTGGAGTCGTGTGGGAGGGGGCAGAGACACAAACAGATGGGAACTCTCCATTGGAGTCATGTGGGAAGGGGCAGAGACAGAAACAGATGGGAACTCTCCATTGGAGTCGTGTGGGAGGGGGCAGAGACACAAACAGATGGGAAATCTCTATTTCAGTCTTGTGGGAGGGGGCAGAGACACAAACAGATGGGAAATCTCCACTGGAGTCGTGTGGGAGGGGGCAGAGACACAAACAGATGGGAACTCTCCACTGGAGTCGTGTGGGAGGGGGCGGAGACACAAACAGATGGGAACTCTCCATTGGAGTCATGTGGGAAGGGGCAGAGACACAGACAGATGGGAACTCTCCATTGGAGTCGTGTGGGAGGGGGCAGAGACACAAACAGATGGGAAATCTCCACTGGAGTCGTGTGGGAGGGGGCAGAGACACAAACAGATGGGAACTCTCCATTGGAGTCATGTGGGAAGGGGCAGAGACACAAACAGATGGGAACTCTCCACTGGAGTCGTGTGGGAGGGGGCAGAGACACAAACAGATGGGAAATCTCCACTGGAGTCGTGTGGGAGGGGGCAGAGACACAAACAGATGGGAACTCTCCATTGGAGTTGTGTGGGAAGGGGCAGAGACACAAACAGATAGGAACTCTCCACTGGAGTCGTGTGGGAGGGGGCATAGACACAAACAGATGGGAAATCTCCACTGGAGTCGTGTGGGAGGGGGCAGAGACACAAACAGATGGGAACTCTCCACTGGAGTCGTGTGGGAGGGGCAGAGACACAAACAGATGGGAAATCTCCATTGGAGTCGTGTGGGAAGGGGCAGGGACACAAACAGATGGGAAATCTCCATTGGAGTCGTGTGGGAGGGGGTAGAGACACAAACAGATGGGAACTCTCCATTGGAGTCGTGTGGGAGGGGGCAGAGACAGAAACAGATGGGAACGCTCCATTGGAGTCGTGTGGGAAGGGGCAGAGACACAGATGGGAAATCTCCATTGGAGTCGTGTGGGAAGGGGCAGAGACACAAACAGATGGGAACTCTCCATTAGAGTCTTGTGGGAGGGGTGAGGCCACAAACTACAGTTGCGAATTCTCCATTGGAGTCATGTGGGAGGGGCAGAGACACAGATGGGAACATTCAACTGGAGCCATGTAGGAGGGGCAGGAACACTTTACTAGAGCCTTGTGGGAGGGACAGAGAAACTGATGGGATCTCTCCATTGAAGTCTTGTGGGAGGGGCAGAGACAAGGACAGACGGGAACTCTTTTAGGAGGGGCAGAGACACATAATACAGTCAGGAACCCTCCACTGCAGTCTTGGAGGGCTGCAGATACAAATCTACAGCTAGGAACTCGCCATTGGAGCCTTGTAGGAGGGCAGACACAAACTGTAGCTGGAAACTCTCTATTGGAGTCTTGTGGGAGAGGTGGAGACATGATCTACAGTTGGAAACTCTTCACTGGAGCCTTGTAGGAAGAGCAGACACAAACCACTTCCAGGATCACTTCACCAGAGCCTGGTGGGAGGGGCAGAGGCAAACTACAGTTAGGAACGCTATTGGATCCTTGAAGGAGGGGCAGAGACATATTCTGCAGCCAAGCACTGGCCATTGGGTCTTGTAGGAGTGGCAGACACACAAACTATGTTTGGGAACTCTCCAATGAAGTCTTGTAGGAGTGGCAGACAAACTATGTTTGGGAACTCACCTTTGGCATCTTGTGGGAGGGCCAGAGACACAAACTAAAGAGGGGAACTCACCTTTTGCGTCTTGTGGGAGGGCCAGAGACACAAACTAAAGAGGGGAACTCACCTTTGGCGTCTTGTGGGAGGGCCAGAGACACAAACTAAAGAGGGGAACTCACCTTTGGCGTCTTGTGGGAGGGCCAGAGACACAAACTAAAGAGGGGAACTCACCTTTGGCATCTTGTGGGAGGGCCAGAGATACAAACTAAAGAGGGGAACTTGCCTTTGGCATCTTGTGGGAGGGCCAAGGACAAAAACTAAAGAGGGGAACTCACCTTTGGCATCTTGTGGGAGGGCCAGAGATACAAACTAAAGAGGGGAACTCAACTTTGGCGTCTTGTGGGAGGGCCAAGGACAAAAACTACATTTGGGAAATTACCACTGCAGCTTTGTGGGAGAGGCAGAGACACAAACCACAGCTGGGAAACTCTCCACTGGAGTCTCAGAGATACAAGACAATTTAATTCGGACAGCTTGCACATTTCTTGATTTTAAAGGGCAGTGAAAGATTCGAACATTGCTTATCTCACCTTGCTCTCCTTCTTAGCACTTTTGTCTTTATTGCCATCTTCAGACACATCAGACAAATCGCTGTCTCCGTCATCTTTGTCCTTCTTTTCCTTATCCTCGCCTATCTCCTCATCACTATCCTGGGAGTCGCTGCCCTTCGATGCCTTCTTATCCTTTCCACCTTTTCCAAGTTTCTCTTTATTATCATTGGCTGGTTTTTTGAGGCCAGTCTGTTTGCTGGTTTGCTTAGCCGAATTTTCCTTTCTTCTGGGGTCCTCCTCGCTGCTGCTTTTTCTATTTTTGGTCTGTGCAGGATGCGCCTCTCCCTCACTGTCAGTCTCTTTATTTGATCCTTTTTTCAGAGAGCTTGCGTCATCCTCATCCGTACCACTATCACTCTGTTTAGAAGCCTTTGCTGGGCTCTTTTCTTCCTCCTCGCTGTCACTGGACTTATTTGATGATGCAGGCCTGACTGCATCCCCTTCCTCCTCACTTTCACTGTCTTTAAGAGACTGTTCCTTGGCTGGACTCTCTTCCTCCTCGCTGTCGCTAGGTTTCTTGGACATGGCCTTCTTTGGTGTCTGTTTCTTGGATGCGGTCTTCTTTACTTTCCTCTTGGGTGTATACTCCTCTTCCTCGCTGTCACTCTGTTTTTTTGATGCCACGTTTACCTTCCTCTTGAGCGTGTACTCCTCCTCGCTGTCACTATGTTTCTTTGACATGGCCTTCTTTGTTGTCCTCTTGGCTGGACTCTCCTCCTCGCTGTCGCTGTGTGTTTTTTTTGCCATGGCCTTCTTTGTTGTCCTCTTGGCTGGACTCTCCTCCTCGCTGTCACTATGTTTCTTTGACATGACCTTCTTTGTTGTCCTCTTGGCTGGACTCTCCTCCTCGCTGTCACTATGTTTCTTTGACATGACCTTCTTTGTTGTCCTCTTGGCTGGACTCTCCTCCTCGCTGTCACTATGTTTTTTTGCCATGGCCTTCTTTGTTGTCCTCTTGGCTGGACTCTCCTCCTCGCTGTCACTATGTTTTTTTGACATGGCCTTCTTTGTTGTCCTCTTGGCTGGACTCTCCTCCTCGCTGTCACTATGTTTCTTTGACATGGCCTTCTTTGTTGTCCTCTTGGCTGGACTCTCCTCCTCGCTGTCACTATGTTTCTTTGACATGGCCTTCTTTGTTGTCCTCTTGGCTGGACTCTCCTCCTCGCTGTCGCTGTGTTTCTTTGACATGGCCTTCTTTGGTGTCCTCTTGGCTGGACTCTCTTCCTCGCTGTTCATATGTTTCTTGGATGCGGTCTTCTTTACTTTCCTCTTGGATGTATACTCCTCTTCCTCGCTGTCAATCTGTTTTTTTGATGTCGTCTTTACTTTCCTCTTGGGCGTATACTCCTCCTCGCTGTCAATCTCTTTCTTTGGCTTTCTCTTGGCCACAGTCTCCCCCATGGTACTTGCTTTAAGTTTGCTCTCTTTTCTTAGCATAGTCGTCTTTATTCTTCTTTTGGTTGGACTTTCCTCCTCACTGTCACTCTCTCTTTTCTGTCCTTTCTTGCTTTTCGTGGCTCCAAGATCCTCTCCGCTCTCATCATCACTGTCTCTCTTACCCTTTCCCTTCTTAAGGACACGCTCCTCTTCATCCTCGCTTTCCATCTCTTGCTTCTGTGGTCTCTTCCCTGGCTTGACAACAGCTTGTTTGGGCTTCTGTTTGATGTCAACCGTTTTCTTTGGGTTGTCCTCACTGTCTGTAGACCTCTCCTTTTTTTTAGCCTCAGAGGTTTTCAGTTTGGCAAGTGTCATTTCTTCCTCACTGTCGGAATCCTCGCTCTGCGCTCTATTTTTTGTTCTATCACTGTCTTCGCTGTCAGAGCCCAAAGTCTTCTTTTTGTTCTTAGGGGGCTCTTCATCCTCACTATCAGACTCCTCGTTCAGTTTCTTCTTGGGTGCAGTATTCTCGTCATCGCTGCTCAATTCCGAATTCTCGTTCTTTCTTGCTGATGGCTTTAGCGGTCCTGTTTTCTGTTTTACCTTACTCCCGTCATCTGAGTCTTCCTCAGATAGGTCCTCTTTGACATCATTGTCACTCGCTATGCCTCGTTCCTGTTTCTGTGGGGACTCTTTCTTGGTCCCTTTTCCCTTTTTGGAAGTTGGAGCTTCAGGGGAACTGCTGGACAATCTCTTGGCGTCTCTCTGCTCAATCCCGGAGTCTTCCTCTGACTCGATGTCTGAAAAGGAGCAAAAATCATTCATATAGAGGGTCAATCAGTCTCGCGTTTTCACACTAAAAGAACTAACAAGGGTGGAGGTGTAGGATAGTACCTGGCATCTCCAAATCCAGGAATCCTCCAGGAGGATGACCTGGGGGGTAACTAACCTGATTTGTGCAAACATGACCTATACCTGCTGGAACCATAACCTGATAAAGATATGAATTACTACACTGCAATGAATAATGTAAGTAGTGCAACTGCTTAAAAAATATATAAAAAATAATAATAATAATACATTAATTATTAATAAATTAATAATAATGCACAAAGTAGTTGCAAAGGCCAAAGGTTTTTTTTACCTTCATGCATTCTATGCATGAAGGTGAAAACCCTTTTGAGTGCAGCAGCAACTTCTCGATCCAGCAATATGCACGAAAGCCTTGTCTGTCCAGGGTTTCTCCCTTCTCACTGGCTGAGACAACAGTGGGAGCCTCTGGTTCACGCTACTGTCAATCATAGCTAGTAAGCCAATGAGGAGGGGGGGGGGCAAGCCAGACTGTGTGAAAGGACACAGAGGAGTGGCTTGGGAGCCCCCATAGCAAACTGCTTGCTATTGGGGCACTTGGCAGGAGGCAGGGGCCAGGGCCGCCGGCAGAAGAGGAGGATCAGGGCTGCTCTGTGCAAAACCATTACACAGAGCAGGCAAGTATGATGATATGATTGTAAAGGCCGAATTTTATTTTTTTTTAAAATTTAAATAAACATCAAAAGATCACTTCCAGGCACAAAAACGTTACATTTAAATATGTTCTTTAATAGCCTTTGCAAACCCAGATATTACCTTGCAACATAGCAGGGACATTACCACTATACACAGCCAATGCAGATAGTAAAGCTGTGGAAGGAACCCACTACAGACTGCCTGCAGAAAAACTACAGGAGGGGGTGGAGACAGGACCAGTCACCCTGCACAAGGGGAGAGAGCAGCAGTGAGCGGTCTTCATTACAGGAAGTCTCACATTGGGTTACTTCACAAATCTAGAAAAAAATACACAAATCACACCAAGATTCAAGGAAGAATACACATAAGGAATGAACAAAAAGGAATTATTGGAGTGTACTCGGGTGTCAGGTCACTTCCAATTTTTTGATACACTAGTGCCACGTCCTGGTTCATCAGACCAAAAAAATGGGGGGGAAAAAATAGGCAAAGGGAAAAAATGGACTTTAGAGGCACAGAAACCATAAACACAAATCAGTAAAATCACTTGTACTTTATTATGACGATAAGTCATGACACAAAAAACATTTGTTAAAAATTCCCCCCTTATTTTAACCTCCCTAGTGGTCTGATTATGTCCATATTTCTGTGCTCAAAGCCGTACATTTTTTTGCATGGAAATATGTTTTCTTATTGTAGTCCTGTAATTCTTAGGAATAACTCACTGAAATCTGTCCGAACAAGAGTCTAGTAAACATCCCGGGGATGATAAAATTTGAAACACGAAATCATAAATTATAATTTAATAAATAATCATAAAAAATAATAATTTAATAATAAATTTCAATAATATAATCAAACCAAAAACACTGAAATGTGAAAAAGAGCGCCAAGTTCGCACATCGCTGAGCTCAGTCGCAGAATCGTTTTCAGTGTCTGATGAGGAATTTCCCCCACAAATCATTATCACTCAATTCTGCAAGTGGTTCTGATTTACTATCGCTGTTCTCTAGCCGGTCTAAAACTGCGTCTGACCTAAAGGGACGCTTTTTGGACGCCATGGACGTTTCTCAGTTTACAGGGAGAAAACAGTAAAAATGCAGGCAGGGCGCCGGACAAAGCACTCGGGACAAAATGTATGTGAAATGGTTTGATACAGGAATGTTATACTATGTGATTTTAGTGTATTTAGTGAATGTCACTTTTTACATTTTTAAATTTCTGCCGGATGCATCTCCCGTACGTCCCGACGTCGCAGGGAACGGAACCCGGAAGACAGATGCCAGCATCGGCCGGAGGACATTGTAAGGGGACACTGCAGGGGGGACATCGCAGGAGCGCAGGACAAGGTAAGTGAAGAAGAGATCCCAGAGCAACGCTGCAGTGTATTCCCGAGTGTAGCTCGGGGTTACCGCTTGTGGTGCTGAAACTTTACCCCGAGTGTAGCTCGGGAATACCGCCAGGGGGGTTAATGTTGCTGTTTCAGACCTGTGAGAGCCTTAGTTGTTGGCCACTATTGTGCCCCCATATCTGGCTCTTGGATGGCCCTTACCTTGTGGGAGGGGTGGAGGAGGTCGGCCCTCTGGGATTAGGAGGACTTTTGTTTCTTGGTACACATTGATGTTATATGCAAGTTCTAGGATATATTTATATGGATCTTTACATATTTATATGATGTAATCTGATATAACATATATCTATCTATCTATCTATATATATATATATCTCCATCTCTTTTAGATTTCACTACTAAGCCCCTGAAGAAGTGATTGTTGTCACGAAACAGGTTGGGCCATTCTTCTAGCGGCTTAATGTCCCTCACCCCCCTATAGGACCTTCCTGGTGGTTATGTCTCATCACTAGTCTTGTTCCTTGGAGTATGGTGGGATGTGTGACATTGTCCGCGGGGACATTGTACAATAGAATTTACAAAAAAATGTTTGTGTCATGATTATCGTCATAACAAAGTACAAGTGATTTTACTGATTTGTGTTTATGGTTTCTGTGCCTCTAAAGTCCATTTTTTTCCCTTTGCCTATTTTTTCCCCCATTTTTTGACACATAAGGAATGGATTTAGACAACATTTGCTTATCCCGGAGTTCAGCTTTAAGGCAGCCAAACACGTATGTTTTGCAGAAAGACTTTATTTCTCATAATGGTCTCTCGATTTTTGCCTAGAATCTACACTCAAAGGGGGGAGGCTTATATCCCGAGGTCTGCGGCGTCTCATTAAAGTGAAGCTAGTATCAGATAGACTTGCTACAAAGTAATAATGTACAGTCTGATCACAGGGGAGAGAAGAGACTGAAAAAATGCTGGGTCCTGCCTGCAGCAGACTGACAGCACCATCTCAGGCACTTGACTGGAGCTCAGCTTTTTAATAAGCGGTGTATCTTCTCCAGCTCTTCTCTCATAGTCTACTACTTGTCTCTAGGACAGACGCTGCTTGCACTCACCATCTAGTGGTTTCCTCCTTTTCCCAGGTGGCTCCTTGCTCCCCGTTATGTCATCTCTGCTGTCATGCCGGGCCCTCTTCTGCACTTTAATCAGAGGTTCATCCTCGCTGGCATCCTCATCCTGTGGGGAATGGAAAAAGAGGAGGGAATGTCATCAAAATGATGCAAAAAAGCCTGCAGTACGTTGGGTGTGAATACCGGGCGACATTCAGCACTTCTAATACCTCAGATAGTCATTTCAAAGCGACACTTTTACAAAAAATAATTCCTGAAATAAATGGCTTCCTATGAAGAAGATCCTCACCTCCCTTGCTGCCTGAACTGCTGATCCCTGCAGTGGTCATGAGAAACTGTCCAATGCAAAAAAATCTTCAGCAACTGTCACTTCTGTGAGTTCTGGTCCCCCGATGTGCACTTTGGTTCCTCCCGCTGAACACCATGTTGCTACAGAATATAGCAGTTCATGTGGCCAATCGTGTGACACGTGGAGTCTACTTCTTGTCCTGTGGTGGGTGGTGATAAATGGTACAGAGGAGCCCTGATGTTATGACATCACCTGCAGCATTGTATGGTCATTCCAGAACATGGGGGGGGTGCCCACAACATCCCGGGCCCGCAGGAGGCGGGGCGGTGCCCACAACATCCCGGACCCGCAGGAGGCGGGGCAGTGCCCACAACATCCCGGGCCCACAGGAGGCGGGGCGCTGCCCACAACATCCCGGCCCACAGGAGGCGGGGCGCTGCCCACAACATCCCAGGCTCACAGGAGGCGGTGCCCAAACATCCCGCACCCACAGGAGGCAGGGCGGTGCCCACAACATCCCGGGCTCACAGGAGGCAGGGCGGTGCCCACAGGAGGCGGAGAGGTGCCCACAACATCCCACGCCCACAGGAGGCGGGGCGGTGCCCACAACATTCCGCGCCCACAGGAGGCGGGGTGGTGCCCACAACATCCTGGGCCCACAGGAGGCGGGGCGGTGCCCACAGGAGGCAGGGCGGTGCCCACAACATCCTGCGCTCACTGGTAGCAGGGCGGTGCCCACAACATCCTGCGCTCACAGGTGGCGGGGCGGTGCCCACAACATCCTGCGCTCACAGGTGGCGGGGCGGTGCCCACAACATCCTGCGCTCACAGGTGGCGGGGCGGTGCCCACAACATCCTGCGCTCACAGGTGGCGGGGCGGTGCCCACAACATCCTGCGCTCACAGGAGGCGGGGGCGGTGCCCACAACATCCTGCGCTCACAGGAGGCGGGGCGGTGCCCACAACATCCTGCGCTCACAGGAGGCGGGGCGGTGCCCACAACATCCTGCGCTCACAGGAGGCGGGGCGGTGCCCACAACATCCTGCGCTCACAGGAGGCGGGGCGGTGCCCACAACATCCTGCGCTCACAGGAGGCGGGGCGGTGCCCACAACATCCTGCGCTCACAGGAGGCGGGGCGGTGCCCACAACATCCTGCGCTCACAGGAGGCGGGGCGGTGCCCACAACATCCTGCGCTCACAGGAGGCGGGGCGGTGCCCACAACATCCTGCGCTCACAGGTGGCGGGGCGGTGCCCACAACATCCTGCGCTCACAGGAGGCGGGGCGGTGCCCACAACATCCTGCGCTCACAGGAGGCGGGGCGGTGCCCACAACATCCTGCGCTCACAGGAGGCGGGGCGGTGCCCACAACATCCTGCGCTCACAGGAGGCGGGGCGGTGCCCACAACATCCTGCGCTCACAGGAGGCGGGGCGGTGCCCACAACATCCTGCGCTCACAGGTAGCGGGGCGGTGCCCACAACATCCTGTGCTCACAGGTAGCGGGGGGCGGTGCCCACAACATCCTGCGCTCACAGGTAGCGGGGCGGTGCCCACAACATCCTGCGCTCACAGGTAGCGGGGCGGTGCCCACAACATCCTGCACTCACAGGTAGTGGGGCGGTGCCCACAACATCCTGCACTCACAGGTAGCGGGGCGGTGCCCACAACATCCTGCACTCACAGGTAGCGGGGTGGTGCCCACAACATCTTGCGCTCGCAGTATCCAAGCAAAAATGTATCAGAGAGGTCAGTCCCTTTTTTTAAGTGACAGATTCTCTGCAATCTCCACTGATGTGAAACATCCACAATGCTCCTGGCAGCCACACACCAGGTGATCCAGGCTCAGGTGTGTTTTTTTTTTTTTTTAAAACCAATAGTAAGAGAATATTTTTCTGGTCAAAACATTGCAGAAATTGACCGATGATGACAAGGACAGGTCCACTTTAGGAAAACACAGTCGGTGCTGCATACAGAGACTCTGTCCACTCCTGCAGGCAAAACCTGATCTTCAGCAGACGACACGGCGGAGGAAACGTTCTGTGTAAAACATAGAGATTGTGAAAGTCACAGCCAATCACACGGAAGGAAATGAAGACGGACAAGTCGGAGGGACTCTGGGTGGGGGAGGGGGTCTTAGGAGGACGGTGCGGGTACAGGCGTTATCCAGAGCAGTACTAGTCAGAGTTCATGCGGCGAGCCATGCAGGAGGGAAACTCGAGTGAGATTATAACAGAGAGTTGATGGGTTCCGAGCTCAGGGGCACCGGGAGAGACTGATGAATGCTGACTACACAGACGACAAGCGAGCGCGGCACCTCCGGCTATGTGCGCCCCCGAAGGTTATTTATAGAACCGATCTTCTAAAAAGAGATACAGAGATGTAACCAAGCCAACTGCGCCCGGGGCCATTCCCACGACTGGCATTCATCTCCGTCCTACAACTCATTCATAAATAATGTCCGCACTGTGCGTACAGCAAACCTGCGCGCTCCAACCAACCAACGCATGACCACTGCATAGTGAACGAAAAAAAAAAATGGTGGGCAGGTGGCGGCTTTTCTCTGGAGTGCTATTTATATAAACAGACAGACTATACCTGTGATCACGCCATCATCAGACAATATCACAGGCTACATGAAAACAGCCAGAGTGGCTCTGTACTTTGTGAACCAATCATGGCGTTCACAAAATGTACACACTGTGTTTACAAACAATCACCCCGTTCACAATGGAGGAAGGATTGCAACAAAGAGATCAGCTCTCCTTCCCCCCTGAACCAATACTTTCGGGTGTGCAGGATCATGTGACGGTGCTAAGCCTATCAAGTGTGCTTACAGTGAAAAACACGCCGCAAAACTGCACACAGTTAACCCTTTGATCGCCCCAGATGTTAACCCCCTCCTGCCCAGTGCCATTAGTACAGTGTGAGTGCTTTTTATTAGCACTAATCACTGTATTGGTGTAGTTTATAAAGTACAGAGCCTCTCTGATTGGCTCTTTCCATTTTGCCTGTGATGCGTGTTGTCTGATGACGGTGCGATCAGAGGCATCACCTGTGTGTACAAGTTCATGAAGCTGGAGGGGTTAGAAGTGAACTGGTTTCTCCGTCCTGCAAGAACAGCACACAGGTTTATTTTGCACCGCCATGTAAGAAGCGGGGGGGGGGGGGGGGGGGGGGGGGGGGTTGGGGTCCAATACCTGCATCTTCAGCAGCTCTTCCTCCACGATCTTCTTGAGTGTCTGTCGCTCCTTCGCGGTCAAAGACGATTGGCCGCAATGATCCAAGAACTTGGAACGCACCAGAGAGTGGGACAGGATGCTGCAGAGGGGAAGAGAGAATACTTGTTACAAACCGCCACCATTAACATCTCTCCAGATCTTCCCCACCGCTCCCTCCACAGTCTACAGGGAGTCCACGACCATCCTGAGGGCAGCACACTGGACCCCGCCCCCTGCTCCTGTACTGGGCTCAATACCCACCCTGACATCAGTACACTGGACCCCGCCCCCTGCTCCTGTACTGGGCTCAATACCCACCCTGAGGTTAGTACACTGGACCCCGCCCCCCGCTCCTGTACTGGGCTCAATACCCACCCTGACATCAGTACACTGGACCCCGCCCCCTGCTCCTGTACTGGGCTCAATACCCACCCTGAGGGCAGTACACTGGACTCCGCCCCCCGCTCCTGTACTGGGCTCAATACCCACCCTGAGGGCAGTACACTGGACTCCGCCCCCCGTTCCTGTACTGGGCTCAATACCCACCCTGAGGGCAGTACACTGGACTCCGCCCCCCGCTCCTGTACTGGGCTCAATACCCACCCTGAGGTCGGTACACTAAACCCGCCCCTGCACTCTGTTCTCTACCCCACTTAGAAGTCTGAGATCAGTTTATGGGCATCCTGATTCCCTGACAAGGTTCTTGTGTAATGCACCGGCCACCCCGAAAGCCCGCTCCGACGCCCTCGGACACCCCGACGGCCCGCTCCGACGTCCTCGGACACCCCGACGGCCCGCTCCGACGTCCTCGGACACCCCGACGGCCCGCTCCGACGGCCCGCTCCGACGCCCTCGGACACCCCGCTCCGACGCCCTCGGACACCCCGACAGCCCGCTCCGACGCCCTCGGACACCCCGACAGCCCGCTCCGACGCCCTCGGACACCCCGACAGCCCGCTCCGACGCCCTCGGACACCCCGACAGCCCGCTCCAACGCTCTCGGACACCCCGACAGCCCGCTCCAACGCCCTCGGACACCCCGCTCCGACGCCCTTGGACACCCCGCTCTGACGCCCTCGGACACCCAGACAGCCCGCTCCGACGTCATCGGACACCCAGACAGCCCGCTCCGACGTCATCGGACACCCAGACAGCCCGCTCTAAACGCCCTCGGACACCCCGACAGCCCGCTCCAACGCCCTCGGGACACCCCGCTCCGACGCCCTCGGACACCCCGCTCCGACGCCCTCGGACACCCCGCTCCGACGCCCTCGGACACCCCGCTCCGACGCCCTCGGACACCCCGCTCCGACGCCCTCGGACACCCCGCTCCGACGCCCCTCGGACACCCCGCTCCGACGCCCTCGGACACCCCGCTCCGACGCCCTCGGACACCCCGCTCTGACGCCCTCGGACACCCCGCTCTGACGCCCTCGGACACCCAGACAGCCCGCTCCGACGTCATCGGACACCCAGACAGCCCGCTCCGACGTCATCGGACACCCCGACAGCCCGCTCTGATGTCATCACTTCGCTTCCTTTCACACCCCTCCCCCTATGTAGTCATTGCCTGTGGCAAGCTAACAGCAGCCAATGAAACAGGGAGGGTGGACAGTTGCTATGGTAACTCTCCCGCCACTCTCTGTCACCAGGTAGTCACGACCCCCCCACTCCTGTCCACTGAACCCAGGAACCCCAGTGACCCAGCATGCTTGATAATTAGGAAGCAGGGGCACTTCCAACCGGAAATGCATCACCCTGACGTCATGAAGCTTCATATCAGCCATCATTCTAGGGTCCCCTGTAACCCATGACGTCACGGCCGCGCCGTCACCTCCCCGCGATCCCCGGTCCGCCCAGTCACATGACCGCCCGGTGCCGCACCTGAGGTCGGGGCTCCTTTCGAAGAGCTGCCGAACGAATTGCCGCATCTCGCGCCCGCTCTCTCCCGCCATGTTTAAACCTTCAGCCCCAGGGTCCCGCGCCCCGCCCACCAAATGCGTATTGGTGGGGCGCGTTAGACCACGCCCAATTCCGGCTCCGTCAGGTGAAGACTCCGCCCATCCCTAGTGTTCCGCCCTTAGCTCTCTGTGAACTGTCCCCGCCCCTCCGTCGCCACCTTGGGGTCGTCTATTTTTTTTAATGAAAAGGCTTGAAGGTCTACAGAAACATGGCCGACACACTCCGCCCTCTGGAAGGCGGGGTTTACACAGGAAGTGAGGTCACGTTGCCTCAGGAACCAGGCAGGGTTGTCTTCCTGGGACAGAAGGGAGCTGTGAGTGAGGTGAGATGCCCAATATAACCATATGATCGCTGGGAACCC